TTTTTTTTATGAAACTTAGTGTGAGCTAGTTGGGAGAGAATGGCTGGAGATCTAGAGCTCGGTCAGTGCCGTGCTAGCGCCGTGCCAGCGCGTGTGCGCGCCCCGTATTGATGACTGACATTTCGGTACGGCGCTTGCACAGGTCAACTCTATTGAAACAGAACTCAAGGTGGGGTTTTAGTTGCTCGTAATCTAAATTCCATTGCATTGTTTCTGTGAGGACCAGAGGATACACGCCGCATGCGACCGCTTACTATCAACTATGCTTTTCGTGCTGGTAGCGTTCGTCTGAATCATCCGATTTTCGAATATAAGTTTTATTTTCAGATACCCTAAAAAAGAAAATTCAGATCTACACCATATACACTGTAATGAAAAAAATCACGGAAATTTCTCTATGATACGCACGGCAAATTGCGATCAAATTTTGGTTGTAGCACGAAATCCAACGATATGCCACGATTCTGAACTGGTTTCCTAAAAATATCATCTGTTGTACATATCTGGAAGCTTGCTTCCTGTTTTTTGTTTCTGAATAGATCAGGTTTTGAATGTGAGAGCAGAATGCTTTTTGTTACTGCTATATGAAGATGCTTCGCTCCCTACCGATGTTGTCCAAACTGTATCCTGTGGCAGGGGGTGTTAGCTTATCTCGGGTTTAAAGAGCTTCAATGGAATTTTACCTCTTTGATACTGCATTAGAATTCAAGTACAGGCTGATAGTTTCTTGATGTTTTTAAATTCAAAATGTGGCACGTTTCGGAACTGAAGTGGCGTTTCTCCTTCTCTACGCCATTCCACTGTTCTGTGCATGAGTTTTCCATTCTGAAGAGAGTTTTTCGTCTTTACACTCGGCGCAATCAAAAGTACCTCATAAATTTACACTTTGGCTATGCATAGTTCTTTCGCATTGGTAGCTGCTTGAGTGAATAGTTCATCTTTTGCAATTCAAATTTCCATTTTTTTCAAGCAAAGTAAAGTTTAGGGATTGTTTGACAGCAGGGGAAGGGTATTGAGCAATTACTGACTGCGAGCACAGTTCGGGAGGGGGCATGACTACGCGTCGCCCAATGCCGCAGATCGCGCGTTATACAACATAACAATTTCTGGTACTGTATATGAGCCCTGCTTCCCAGTCTGCCCGTGTTAGCGCCATGTTAGCGCATTATCGCCGATTAAGGGCGGTGGCAAGGAAGAGTATCGAACACTTATTGACTGTCCGTTTTGGCGCTAGCTCGGAGCTGGTCTACCGGCTCGTGAGGGTGAGGGAGATGATGAGTTGAAGATTTTAATTTGAGGTTTTTTCAAAGGTTTTCAACTTTCATTTCCTCCATTGAAACTTATTATCTCACAGGCACTCAAAGCACAAAATGAGAAGAGCGGCGAAATTCATCGCGATATCAGGCGAGCACTGGAAGAACGCCTTCGCTCCCAAGAAGAGCATACAGAGGCACTCAATAAACAACTATTGGTTTGTATTTATGATCTGAAGCGAATCAGAAGCAGCTGATGACAATAAATTTGAGACCGATCGTGCGAAGCAGAAGGAGCGTTTCCAAAAAGTTAATGAGGCACTGGCAGCTCTCGAGCATCATCTAGAACTTGGAAATAATAAAATGGATACGATCATCAATTCTGAAATACAGACAAGGTGACTGTTTTGTTCTCATTGCTATCGTGTTGCACTTGAAACTCAGTATTCAATCCGTGTACAACGCTGGTCTTTTCTTGAGCAATATCGAAAAACGTCAGTCCCTTTCCCGCTCATTCTTATTTTATTATCATGTCATTGCCTCGCTAGTCCACTGTATTTTGAGAGCATCATTAGTGGTTTGCAAAACTGCTTCTATCACCTTTGAGCATTATATTTGAGCTAAATTTCCAATTCTTTTCCATTCTGCCAAGAGCCATTTGGTAGATTCGCATTTTCCGCCAATGCGAAATCCAACGCTTTTATTTCTGCGAATACTCCTCTTATCTAATTTCATTCAGGAAAGTGCATGAGAAAGGTCTTCTCACGAAAATAACAGAGGTGGAAGACAAGCTCAATTCGTACCTCGGAAATTTGACGAAATCAATTGATGAAGTAAAGGCAGGAAAGGAAAGCGTCAAGATACCCTCGCTTGATGTGGATGCTGTAAGTTCTGTTGGATTTCATGATGCTTGGACGGTATTCGAGAGCTCTCATGCTTGGGCTATGGCTTGAGTTTCTTACAGGAGGGTCATGAGAAAATCGCGGAATGAAAATTGAGCGAATTTTCACGGACAAGGCTTTCTTCATATCAAAGGCGCCTTACCTCGTTTACATGTTTCATAAACCTGCGCAAGTGTATTTCTTGCTTCTGAACATTCTTATCACTTTTCAACAAGTTTTTGGTTCAAAGTAGTTTTACGAA